TATATATAATTTTATTATTATATTATATAAATAAATGAACCAATTATCTAGTCGGTTTAATAAGTTTTTCTATAAGTCTAAGTTTAACCTTTTTTATATAAATAGGTTTTTTTAAAAGTATAAACCTAACCTTTTTATTAAACAGGTTAGGTTAGACCAGACTTTAAAGAGATTAGGCCATATACTCCTATTTAAGATTTGACCTATTCTTATCCCTACTCGTGATTGATAAGTGTATCGCAAAAATATTCATAAATTGCTCATGGGTTAGTTAGATGGAAAGCCAAATTTAGTTCAATATTTGTTAAATGAAACAGTCCTTCAAATTTCATTTTGGATGAAGTTGACTTAGATTTCTTATAATTTTCTTTTATTTGTTTTTATTCATCAATATACCATATTTTTAATAACTTAAGACTAATATGCACTCACAAGACATGGTTTCCACAACTAAACATTCTTTCTTTCTTCTGATTTCTAACTCCAATAATAGTGATTGTTGATAGAAAAATATATGCAATAATTTTTCATAAAGAAATTATCTAAAAATTAGAAAAATAAAAATAGTGAATATTCTAAATTTAATTTTCAACTTAATGTTATTAGATAATTAAAGAGCGAGAAAAAATTATTTCAACTTATTTTTTATGAATTTTTAGTTTTGATACATTGTAGCATAAAAAACTTTAAGTTTATTTTTAACATTTCTTATTATAGATCTTTAGATTATTTCTTTGCGTATTATATAATTCATATAGTAACTTTAGTTATTATATTTTAAAAAATTTACTAGTTATTTGTTGTTTCTCCATTCTTAAATAGTTTTAAATTATGTTTGATTAACAACAGTCACTTTTATGAGATTTTGGTTTTAGAATATTATGTTCATATTTTTTTTAATTAATTGTAAAATTTTTGTCAAGTTTCACAAGGAAATATTATTAAAATCTTGATATATTATTGGATTAAAATTAGAATTAAAACATTTTACATTATAATGAAATTTAACTCTTAATGTCTTTTTTTTTAAGATAAGAAATATTACAAATATAGTCAAATAAATATTGAATATAGGTTTCCATATTTCCAACTATCACTACAAGAATGTTTTAATTTAGAGTCGGCCAAAAGCCGACGCAATATTGTCGGTTATTCGTCAGTTTTTGGCCGACGCTAAATAAGTCGACACAATTTTTTTTGTGTCGGCTAAGCCGTCACTAACAAATTTATTTATTTTAATTTTTTATTGTCGGCTAAGCCGACACTATGTTGACACAAATTTTATTTTATTTTTTTCTTTATCTTCTTTTTCTCGCTTATCATTTATTCGTTCATATTTTTAACATTCCTGGGACTCGATCCGTGAACCTTGAGGTCTTAAGTGAACTTGATAACCAAGTGTACTAGAACACATTATGCGTATATAACATTGGAAAAATTATTTTTATCTCTCTGAAAGCACGTATATTATTTAAATATAGCGTCGGCTTTTCCGACGCTAAACTTAAAATAAATTTAATTTAAATTTATTTTAAGTTTAGCGTCGGAAAAGTCGATGCTATATTTAAATAATATACGTGCTTTCAGAGAGATAAAAATAATTTTTCCAATGTTATATACGCATAATGTGTTCTAGTACACTTGGTTATCAAGTTCACTTAATCGGAAAAGCCGACGCTATATTTAAATAATAGCGTCGGCTTTTCCGACGCTAAACTTAAAATATTTAATTTAAATTTATTTTAAGTTTAGTGTCGGAAAAGCTGACGCTAAATCTTAAAATAGCGTCGGCTTTTCCGACACTATTTGCATCAGTTATTAGCCGACGCTTATTTTCCGTCGCTTATTCAGCGTTTTCTTGTAGTGTATTCTAATCCCTCCTCATCTAATTTAAATCTCAATGTCTTTAATAGTACACAACTTTTTCTTTTTATTAATCTTTACTGAGTTACTGAGTATACTGCCATTTTCAAATAAAAATATTAATTTTTCTTGATTTATATATACCGTGAGGATATGAGGTCCTTCAAAATCAATAATGAGCTATTAAGTCTACATTTTTATCAGATTTTTGCTAATTTTTCTATACCCACCTGATTTTTCTCAATTCATTATACATGATAACAATTAATTATTATTATTATTATTATTATTATTATTATTATTATTATTATTATTATTATTATTATTATTATTATTATTATTATTATTATTATTATTATTATTATTATTATTATTATTATTATTATTATTATTATTATTACATTCATTTTTATGGGTTAAAATCATGTGAATTTCACTGATTTAAGTATGAAACTGAAATAGATAACAAGAGAGTTGGTTTGATGGTAGTGAAAGTTAGAATAATAATATGTATAAAATCTTAAATTTAAATCTTGGTATCATTATTATAATTTTTAAGTATTAAAAAAAGTGTTTAAATGAGATTTTGTCCAACAAATATAATAGTTGTGCAATTTTAGTTTTTAAAATTTTAATTTAACATTTTAGTTTATCAAATATTATAGTTGTATGATTTTGATTTCTTGACTTTTAATTGAACAATTTTAGTTCATAAAATTTTACAATTGTATAATTTTAATTTTATGACAATTATACAATTTTTACCAATTTAAGTTATATATATTAGTAATTTTAATAATAATAAATATATATCAAATGATATATCAATAAAAGTCATGATATAAGTAGTTTAAATAGATCAAAAGTATAATTACAATTTTTAAAAAATTAAAATTATACAATTATAATATTTGAGAAACTAAATTTATTTAATTAAAATTTGAAGAATCAAAATTATTTCATTAAAATCTTAGAAACTAAAATCGTACAATTATAATAATAGAAAGATTAAAAATACAAGAAAAATATACGAGTCACCCACGTAAATTTTACCTTATAAATAATAGTACAGTTGAAAGAAAGTATTGAAAATATTATCCAAAAAAGAAGAAAACATTTCCATATGATTTATTTATTTTATCCAGAAAGGCAACCAACCTAATATATTATAGAGAATGAAAGGCCACCAAACTCAACGTGCAGTGTTAGTGCTAAGTAGTTATATTTTCCCTCCCCAACTAGATAAATTAGCATATTTCATCAACATGGGTTCGAATTTCCCGTTTAACTTGATCGATTTGTTTGGAATTTCAAGCATATTTATTGTTGCTGGGGGTGGTTTTAAATACTTGAAAATCAGGTGGGAGATGTGGTAAGGCTAAAATAAAAGCAAATATTACGTAATTTCTTCATATTATCTTGAGATATATACATCATTACATTTTTTTAATGATTGACAAGTATCTTCATCAATTAGTACGAGATTGTATCAGTTTAATTGCTGATATTAAACTTCAATCCTATGTATATAATTACATAAGAAAGGTAATTTTACCGTTAATAATGATCTTATATAATTCAAATTTGTCTCCAATAAAGATACACACGTGAATAAAGAAAAACACCATTCCTAATATTGATTGCAGATTTGCAATAATGTGAGAGACACGGGTCATATGGCATTAATTGGTCATCTTTCATATTATTTTGAAAACATGGTTAAGAATGATGAAATGCAAGGTAAGGGTAGTAAGCACAATGTAGTGAAGAGTGAATACATGACAATGCATATAATTAAGGTTTTGTTGTGGCAATGTGCCATCTACCTCGTGCACTGTCTGCGGTTCTCTTGAAAACCATGGCTTGCTGGCTACGTGATGTGTTTCTAACATTTTTTATATATTAATATTATTATAGTAATTAATAAAATGGGCCTTTTCATTATCCAA